ACTTAACTATGCTCATGACTGCCCTGCCCTGCATTGATTACTGCTGTTGTTCACACTTTTTCTCCTTTCACTTCTTAAGTAACTTGCTGTAGCTTCAGGTTGCTGTAAATTACACCCCGAGGCTAGAGCACCCCCCCCCCTCGCAGTTGGTCCATATCAGCCAGTCCCCTGCCAGAAGGTCCGACAGCAGCGTTTGCATACAAGCAAATTCAAATGCACATCACATGCGTTTCATCTTGGACAATGTACTTAGGCTGAACACAGCCTGGCCCACCCCAAAACCAAAGATACAGCATAAAACAAAGACATACCATGCTTTACACTTAGCTAAACATTCTGTATGGGTTCTTAATAAACAGATTTATCGCGCATTGAGTTTACTGACATGTATGTTAAACAATATAAGATGAATTTGTCACTATACAGCTTATTCCAGAAGTCCTCATTTCTTGCAAGATAATCCTCACGAAGGTTTTATAAACGCTTTAGTTTAAACCTGTAAACTGCCTTTCAAACGTGTTTAACATGGGGATGGTTTCATCAAAACAATAAAAAATGCGCCATTTTAGCGTGAGTGACTTGCCAAAAGCCAGGGAAGCTAAACAATCTACAAGTAAGAGTGCTTGCTCAAGACAGCCTTCAGCTGATTTATCTGACAGGCCACTGCTTCTGTTGCTTTTGAAAGATCCACTGAGACCAGTTACATCTTATAGCAGGGAATCCTTACCTTGCTTTCGTGGTTTATAATACAAACAACAGGTGTCATCCATCTTAGGTGACTGTTGTGGTCAGTCTCTAGTTGTGAATGTTAAATTATGAATGTCTTAAAAAAATGTGGCTAGAATTGTCTTTCCATGTCTTAAGGAATTTTCCTTTGCCTGTAAGGGGTCTCAGCACCTACAGATGGCAATTTTTAATGATACATAAAATAGCAGAGACTTACACCACATAGAAACCATTTATGGCTTACATCTTTGAGGATGAGACCGCTGTCTTAGATCTAGACACTGGATTGCTAACTCTATTGCTGGCTTAGGATAAAAACAAGCTACTTTAAAATACTTCAAATTGATTATTAAGTAATTTTATGTGGAATGTCTGTGGGTGGATGAGCAAACAGCAACAAGGATGTAACAGCATGTAATTAATTGATTTGATGTTCATGTTTTGTTCCAGAAATGGTCAATCAAAAAAAAAAAAATCCCTCCACTTCACTTCTCCTCTCTATACTGGCCAGACTACACAAAATGTTAGGAGGTGGCTGGTGATTTTCAGATGCTCCATGTGAGATCTAAGGAAACCATGCTGGCTGGAAGATGGCAAGGCTTTACATTCCTACGCTTCAGTCATGGAAACAAAACTTGTCCTAAGATGAGTCAATTAGCTAGGCATGCTTAGTTTTCTTTGGTAATAGTAGGCTTGTTTTCCCCAATAAGGTCAAATGTTAAGGCCTGTTTGGTTTTGTGGCTGTACTCTTTAGTGTATTTGAAATCCATTACCATGCATGAGGTATTTGTGCTGGAAACAGGCCAACTGAAGGCTGTTTGTAAAGTCAAATACCCCTAGCATTTCCTCTTTTTGTTAAGTTAAGGTGGTTTCAACATCCCTTTGAGCTTCAGAAGTTCCATTTGCAGGTCATTCAGGTCTAAGGTGCTTTGGTGTTGGTACCTAAATACCTTACAGTTGGATTCCTCCTCCTGAGAAACAAAACATTTGACAGGGGTGACAGTTGCATCTCATATACAGCAGCTCTCTAATAAAATAATTGACCCTTAAGAGTCATTGCCCACCCCATCAGCTCGCTGCTCCAGAGGTAGCCGTGGAAGTGAGCTCGCAGCCCACGCGTTTGCGTTTGCACAGGGCTCGTCCCCATCGCGGCAGCAGCGGACCCGCTTTCATGAGAGGCTTTGCCCAGGACGCACATGCGAGGCAGGAATGATCGTTGGACGTGCACATGCAGTGAGGGACCAGCACGGAGGGAGCATCACCACGAACATCCACCCGCGTCCCCGGAGCACAGGGCCATGGCACGCCAGCAGGGATTTTGCTCAGCGCTGGGCCTCGTGCAGGTGCAGATTTTGAAAAAGGAGTTGGGCACCATCAACAGGACCTACCCAGACCTGAAGCGGCTAAGTGGAAAGCCATCATCTTGACACTTCCCCCTTCCCATCCCTTATGACCAAGGCATATCAAGTCAAAATGAAGGATAAAAAGGCACCTTTTGACAGAAATTTTTGACAAATTGGAAGGAATTTTGACATGAAGCCAAAATTCCTTGTTTGAACAGAAAATTGCTACAACTCTGTTCCTGCTAATACTCAAAAACTCCCCAGCCTGAGCTGCTGCCCTTCTGGCAGCCAGCTCTCCTCTAGCAACAAAGTAGTTTGCTTCTGTGAGGCTTTCCATGCCTCAGGTACACTGTGTGCAGAGAGGTCATATCGTTTATACAATGCAATCACAAGGGCTTCATTCTGAAAATGTGAGTGTGAGGAAAAGGAGATGGTGATGTCCACTTCTTATACACTCAGCCACCCATACTGCAGCAGCGGCACTCTCTGCTACTCAGCCTGAGGGGTGCAAGGAAGGATGCAGCCACCATCCTCTCGCGGGAGGCTAAAGCGCACTAGTGCTGCACCAGCTCTCCTCATCGGCCAGGGACTACGTAGCAAGGGAGGTGACGCCCCTCAGCTCCCCCAGTAAGCGGGCGCCTTCATTAGTTGCACCTCTTACCCAGGAGGCTGCTCCAAGCTGCCGTGCTCCAGCCTAGGCTGGCTGCAGGCACTCGCGGGCAGAAACGAGGCAACGATACAAGAAAGAGAGAAACCAGGCTGCAAGACGGAGCGAGCCAAGGAGAGCGCTGTGCTGTAACCAGTCTGTTAGATTGTTCAGGCACAGGAAGGCAGTGTCCTGTATTTCAGCGCTGTTACCCAGCGTTAGGTGTGTCCCCGGTTTGCAAAAACAGTCTAGGAGCCAGAACAGAAGCAAATGTTGAAACAGTGCCTCTTTGCAAAACAGAAGTCATGTTCTCATGTGGACACCAGGCAGTTTTGCTCCACCAACAAATCAAGTGGGTGGTTCAGAAACCATTTTTGACACTTAGAGGTTTAAATTGTGTTTCTCTCTTTCTTTGTTTATTCCCATACCTATAATCATCTGTGACTCTTTCTTTCTTACAGTGTTTCAGAGCGAGAGAGCTCACACACCTAATGCTGATTAATTCTGCTGGACTGGGTAACTGGCTCCCCTGTGGATATCCTGTTTTCCTGTGAATCATCGTTCCTCCTTGAGACATCCTCCAACCCAGATCAAAGATCCAGAATGTATTAGATATGAAGACATCAGACAGCTCAAACAGATTAGAAAAGACACACACAAAGAAATGCATCCCAGCTTCTCCCTCCTGTCCTGCTGAATTGGTGAACACAATCCTAAGCACTTGTTACGAAAGAAACAGTAGAAAGACAAAAAGAAGAAAAAAGGAGAGAGACTTTGGAAATTTAGTTTACCCAGAGTCTTCTACAAATTACCCTTTCTAAGTATTTGCACTTTTGTACTTACTTAGTTCTCCCTTGCAGTTGGAAACTCTTCGGGCTAGAGCCTCATCTGATGGAAAATGACATCTGTGAGCTTCAGCAAGAGCTGCACTAAC